CTCCTTCAAGAGTGATTGGGCTTGGCCACACCATGACTCAGCCCCAGGGATCAGCAGAGGTTCCCAGTGGGCAAGCACCATCCCCAGGCTCGCACATCCAGACCCCACACTGTGCATTCCCAGCTCCACTCCTGCACAGCAGAGCATGGAGCTTGCCGGGCCCCATCCTTTGCCCCATAGCATCGCGGATCTGTGGGGCAGGGCAAGGCTGTGCATGGGGTCCCCCATTAGCCCCATTGCACGCCGAGGCGGGGGGGGGATTACCGGTTCCTAACGAGGTGCGCACGGGCGCTGGTGGGAGATGCGCCGGGCTCCGCGGTGTCCGCTGCGGGCTGGACCCGGCCCGACGCGCCGCTAATGGGCGTCTGGGTCAATTATCGGCCCGTCGGAGCGGCTCAGCTCCCGCCGTGCGCTGACCCGAACGCACCGAGCGGAGCCCCCAGCCCCGCCGTACCCGGGAGGGATGCGCTTGGAAGGGGGGGGCACAGCCCCGGCTGCCCCAGCGGGAGGTGCCAGACAGGGCCCCGAGGGGGGCAGCGAGACAGCGCTGGGGCTGATGGGGGCTGCATGGGGCTGGCGGTGGGGGCTGTAGGGCAGTGTCTGTGGGGCTGTGTCTGCTGGTCCCTGCACATAATGAGCCCGTTACCTGGTGGAGATTCAGGCGCTGGTACCAGGAGGCAGCAGCGACAGGGCCGCTAACGAGGCTCCGGCGGCATCGGGCGGCTCCGGGGTTAATTGGTGCTGATTTACTGCGCGCACGTAGGAATTGCAGTGATGGAGGAAACGTTCCCGGGGGCAGAGGCTGCAAGAGCCTCGGTGGTGCCTCATCCTGAGGGGTGCTGTGCAGGGGTGGACGGTCACTGGGGACACCTGCCAAAGGCATCGTGTTTGATCATAGAATCCCAGCCTGGGTTGGGTTGGAAGGGACCTTAAAGCTCCTCCAGCTCCAACCCCTGCCACAGGCAGGGACCCCTTCCACTAGAGCAGCTTGCTCCAAGCCCCTGTGTCCAACCTGGCCTCGAACACTGCCAGGGATGGGGCAGACACAGCTTCTCTGGGCACCCTGTGCCAGCGCCTCAGCACCCTCCCAGGGAAGAGCTTCTGCCTAAGAGCTCAGCTCAGTCTCCCCTCGGGCAGGTTAAAGCCATTCCCCCTGGCCTGTCCCTACATCCCTTGTCCCAAGCCCCTCTCCAGGTTTCCTGCAGCCCCTTCAGGCGCTGGAGCTGCTCTAAGGTCTCCCCTTAAGGAGCCTTCTGCTTAAACTGTGCTTGTTTCCCCAACCCCATGCTCTCCTCAGGGCACACATGTCAATCCCCCCCTTCCACTTGTGCCTTGTGGGCACCCCAAGGTCAGAGGAGAGACCCCCAGGGGTTAGTAAAGTGCTCGGATCCTGCACCTTTGTGCTTGGCATCGATGCCCATCTCGGGCTCCACCAGCACCCACCCCCTGGGCACAGCCTCACCAGACAGCATCTGTCGGGCAGGAGGACACGGGAACCAGGGAGAGCTCCCAGGGAGCAGCAGCAGCATCATCAACATCATCATCCTCTGCCAGATGCAAATTGATAGTCGAGTCACTCATGCAGACAATGGGGTCCGGCTAATCCTTTTACAATGGGACTAATTGCTAATCAGACCGATTTCACACTGCCGGCTCCCCTGACAATGAGGCACCGTGGAGAAGGGCTCCTGGGGGGGTGAGGAGGCTCGGTGGGTGCCCACAGCTCCCAGCGGCCCCCCCATCCCCATTCCAGACCCTGCAGCAGGGCCAGCCCTGGCAGATGGGCACTGGGATGGTATTTGGGGTCTTCCAGGTTGGCAAAGCCTCCAGCAGCGGCTGGCAGGGGCTCCAGCCTCATCCTGCATTGGGGTCAGCCGTGGCTTTCGTCCCTGGTGCCATCTCCAGCCCTTGCCTCCATTACCCAGAGCATCCCCTGCCCCTCTGCAGAGCCCGAAGTGGTGGATATTGTCCCTTGGCACCATCTGGATGCACAATGGGGACCGGTGCTCCTTGCCGTGTGTGGCTTGGGTACCACAGGGCTGCGGTGCTGCGTGGGGATGGGATGCTGGAGGGTCTCTCTGCTTTGGTGGGAGATGTTGGGGCAGGGCGATGAACAGGGCAGGGGTGACGTGGGGGCAGATGGGGACATGAAGGGAGACCCAGCAAAGGTGCTGGTTGCTATGAGAAGTGATGTAGGGCTTTGGGTCACAGGGCAGAGCAGCATCGGGGGCATCATGGGACTGGTACCTGCTCCCTCTGCACCCTGCCATAGTCTGCCAGACCCTTGCCAAGGCAGCTGCTGTCAGTGAGGTTGTGCCAAGCCCTGATGTCCCCTGCACATCACCCCATGCCAGGGGCTGGCCGGGGGCTGAGCCCCACATCCTGGGCCCTGTGATCATCCACGGCTCCCTGCCAGCTTGGCACTGGATAATGTGGGATGCGGGTGCTGTGGAAAGCAGATTCTGGGTGCTGTAGGATACCGAGTGCTGTAGGATGCTGGGTGCTGTAGGATGCTGGGTGCTGTAGGATGCTGAGTGCTGTAGGATGCTGGGTGCTGTAGGATACTGAGTGCTGTAGGATGCTGGGTGCTGTAGGCTGCTGAGTGCTGTAGGCTGCTGGGTGCTGTAGGATGCTGGGTGCTGTAGGATACTGAGTGGTGTAGGATGCTGTGTGCTGTAGGATGCTGGGTGCTGTTGGATACTCTGTGCTGTAGGATGCTGGGTGCTGTAGGATGCTGGGTGCTGTAGGATGCTGGGTGCTGTAGGATGTTGTGTGCTGTAGGATGCTGGGTGCTGTAGGATGTTGTGTGCTGTAGGATGCTGTGTGCTGTAGGATGCTGGGTGCTGTAGGATGCTGGATGCTGTAGGATGCTGCGTGCTGTAGGATGCTGTGTGCTGTAGGATGCTGTGTGCTGTTGGATGCTGGGTGCTGTGGGATGCAGGGTGCTGGTGGGGGTGATGGTGTGCTGGTGAGTGAAGCAGGTCCCTGCCTGCCTGGTGTTAACAAGCTCCTGGCCCGCCCCTTTGCAGCCCATTGCCCTGTGCCTGCGCCCTGAGCCATGGCCAGCCGAGCTCCTCGGGGTGCTAATGAGGAGAGAGCCGGGCTCAGTGCGCCTTGCTCTTAATTGCTGCTGTCTTTTGGCTCTTAATGAAGCTCGGCTGCACAAGAGGCAGCAGCCCACCCTGCTCCTCTCCCTCGGGCAGCCTGACCCCCTGGGGCCAGGGGTGCTGCTGGGTGCCCTGTGCTGGAGCTGCGGAGCGGGAGGAAGCACTGTGATGAATGTCATCCCCATCCAGCCATGGCATTCCCAACCCCCAGACACCATTCCCTCCCTCCGTGCTCTGCACAGCACCTTGGTCCCAGCCGTGGAGGGCTGCAGCATCGCCTGCATCCTGGGATGAGCAGGCCCTGGGAGCACGGGCAGGAAGGGATGGGGACCATGCAGTGACCAGCCATCACCCAGCACGCCCTGTCTGTGGTGCAAGGCTGGTGGCTCTGGCTCTGCAAACACGGTGATGGCCACGGGCTCTGCTTGTGTCCCATGGCTTGGTAGAGCAGAGGGGAGTTTAGGTCGTGCTATGGCTCAAGGGAGAGGTGTTGCTGAGTCAAAGATTGCTCTCCCCACCTGAAGGTGCTGAGCATCGGCACGGGCAGCATGTGTCCATGAGCTGCTCCCTGTCCCCACCCCAGCGGCGCAGGAAGGGGTTAACGGCCAGCCCATACCTGCAGTTGCATTTTAAAGATGTGAAATTAAAGCCCGTAATTTATTCTCCCCACACACGAAGGAGCAATTAGTTCTAAACACGGCTTAATCAGTCAGCGCGAGATTGATTTCTGTAGACTTGGATTTGGTGGCTGCTGGCGAGGAGCCAGCCTGGGAGCAATCTCCAAATAAATGAAGTGCAGAGAAGTAAGCCATTGCATAATATGATAGATGAGGCTGGAGCGCGCTCGCCTCTTCATTAGTATTCCGCTGTACACTGGCAGCAGCACCAAACTTTCTCCCCAGAACCGTGGCTTCTTCCACTTCCCCATCCCTCCGCTCCTCCTGCAGCGTGGTTCCTGCTCCCTCCAGTAGTCACCAACCAGCCCCGAGCCCAGGGATGGTGCTGGGATCAGGGCTGTGCACCCAGGACTGATGTTCTTCTTTGGGTGCTGTGGCTTGTGTTTCCCTTCTAGACCCTGGGGACACTGAGGCGCAGGGAGCTGGGGTGGCATCCCATGAACTGCAGCTCAGCAGCAAGAGATGTCATAGAATCAAATCCCAGCCTGGTTTGGGTTGGAAGGGACCTTAAAGCTCCTCCAGCTCCAACCCCTGCCATGGGCAGGGACCCCTTCCACTGCAGCAGCTTGCTCCAAGCCCCTGTGTCCAACCTGGCCTTGAACACTGCCAGGGATGGGGTAGCCACAGCTTCTCTGGGCACCCTGTGCCAGCGCCTCAGCACCCTCACAGGGAAGAGCTTCTGCCTCAGAGCTCATCTCAGTCTCCCCTCGGGCAGGTTAAAGCCATTCCCCTTGGCCTGTCCCTACATCCCTTGTCCAAAGCCCCTCTCCGGGTTTCCTGCAGCCCCTTCAGGCACTGGAGCTGCTCTCAGGTCTCCCCTTCAGGAGCCTTCTCTTCTCCAGGCTGCCCCAGCCCAGCTCTCTCAGCCTGGCTCCAGAGCAGAGCTGCTCCAGCCCTCGCAGCATCCCCATGGCCTCCTCTGGACTCAAGGCATGTGCTTAAGACCCCTCACTCCCTGCCATGACAGCCATGTCTCTAACAATAGGTAGATGCAGTGATGGTCCGCGACCTGTGGGCTCCTGCATGTGAAATACCGGCCGTGCTGTGGGATAGACCCACCAGATGAGCCCCCCCGAGCCCCTATACCCATCCCAGGGGATGGAGCCCAGGTCCCCCATGATGCCCCATGTACCCCCCCATCCCCGTGGGCATTCCCTTCCTGCCCATGCCGCGGCAGCCGCCGCTGACCCTGCCTCTGTCCTTGCTGTCCCTGCAGAACTCCATCCGGCACAACCTGTCCCTGCACACCCGCTTCATCCGCGTGCAGAACGAGGGCACGGGCAAGAGCTCCTGGTGGATGCTGAACCCCGAGGGCGGCAAGACCGGGAAGACGCCGCGCCGGCGGGCGGTCTCCATGGACAACAACAGCAAGTTCCTGCGCATCAAGGGCAAGGCCAGCAAGAAGAAGCAGCTGCAGGTGACGCAGGAGCGCGGGGAGGACAGTCCTTCGTCCCAGCAAGCCAAGTGGTCGGAGAGCCCCGCGTCCCACGCCAGTGACGAGTACGATGCCTGGGCGGACTTCAGGACACGGGCCAACTCCACGGCCAGCACGCTGAGCGGGCGCCTCTCGCCCATCATGTCCAACCACGAGCCGGATGAGCTGGAGGAGGATGACGGAACCCCTTCCTCCCCGCTGATGTACCCCAGCCCTTCCAGCACCATGTCTCCTTCCCTCAACACCCGCTGCTCCGTGGAGCTGCCCCGGCTGACCGACCTGACCGGCACCATCAGCCTGAACGAGAGCCTCGGGGAGAGCATGCTGGAGGACCTGCAGGATGGATACACCATGAGCCCCTCGCAGCAGCTCCCCCCGGCCGCCCTGCGGCAGCGGAGCTCCAGTTTCACCTTCAACTCCAAGTGCTCCACCATGGGTGCTGCCACCAACACCTACTGCGGGACCATCTACAGCCAACCCGCCATGAGCCTCATGCGGCGCCTGCCCATGCAGACCATCCAGGAGAACAAGCAAGCCACCTTCTCTCCTGTCAGCTCCTACAGGAACGCCTCGCTGCAGGACCTGCTCTCCTCCATCTCCTACGCGCACAAGGAGAGCATGGTCCCGGGGGACCTGCCCCTGCCGCAGGCCAGCCCCATGGTGCCGGCCCGTGGCCACAGACACAACCTGTTGCTGTGCGGGAGCGGGGAGCAGGGGTTGTCCTCGTACCCGTCCCACTCGGGCTCTCTCATGAAGAGCAATGCTTTGTACCACCCGTCACCAGCCGGTCACCACCCTGCGGTCAACACCAGTGCCTTAGCTAATCCTGTCAGCCTTATGAGCTTGCCCAGTGACACGTGCAGCATGACGGCCATGCCGCACCACGGGCATCTGCATTCCTACGCTAATAACCAAGGGGCACACATGAGCTTGCTGGATTCGCTGCAGGGCCCCTACCCGGGGGCTGTCCATCCCCCCGTGTTGGGCCAAGACAGGTTCCCAGCAGACCTGGACCTGGACATGTTCAACGGGAGCCTGGAGTGCGACGTGGAGTCCATCATCCTGAATGACTTTATGGACAGTGATGAGATGGACTTCAACTTCGACTCGGCTCTCCCGCCGCAGAACGGGCTCAATGTGCCCACGCTGCCCGGGGGCCCGCAGCCCACGAACCAGAGCTGGGTGCCCGGGTGATGCTCACCCCAGGGTGGGGGGCTCGCCACTGAGAAGCCACGAGGGGAACCTTGAGACTAACTTCATTTGGGTTTTCTTTTCCTTTTCTCTTCTGCCTTTGTTTGTTAAGATGGGCTTAGAGCCGTCGGTCTGAGCTTGAGGTCCAACACGAAACGCAAACCCTAGGGTCAAATATTGAGCCCCCAGCCCAAAAATGTGCCCAATCTGCTGGGTCCTCCCGGGAGCATCCTCTGGAGGATGCAGGGGCAGGCAGCCAGGAGAGGCAGCCGGAGTCAGGCGGGTCCACGGAGGGGGAAGCAGGAAGGGAAAACCTTTCCAGACAGTCCCAGTGCCCCGCTGGGAAGGTGCCAGTTTGGTTTGTGCTTGGGCTGGGTGATGGAGTGGTGATGGCTGGTGGCATGGGAACCCCCCTTTGGAAAGGGACCCTTTGCTCCGAGCCCCCTTGGGAAACGAGTCCCCTGAGTACAAGTGTCAGGAGCAGGGACCCTGCCCCACGGCATGGGGGGTGGCTCCTCACCCCTAGATCCCGGTGGAGATCGGAGCCCTGCCAAGCCCCATGCCCAGGCCACCTCAATGGCTCCAAGCAGTGAGGAAGGGGCTGGTGATGGAGGGCAACGTGGTCCTGCTGGAGTGATGTGCTGCTGGGCTGGGTCCCCTGTGCCGGGGCCCGGGGGGAGCCGCAGGGTCGGGGAGGGGGGTGTATTTATTTGATTTCATGCACTCTTTTGCCATTGAGCTTTTGCATTGGAAGGAAGAAAGGGAGGGGAGGAGAGAGGCTGTGGGCAACGCCGATGGCTGCTCCCCATCGCACGCCTCATCTTGGCTTGGCCGTGGTGTTGGATGTTGGGTGATGGGGTGGAAGAGGGATGCGGTGGGCAGGCCTGCGGTGACTCACGCTGCTCAGGGAGGTGGCACAGGGCTCCTAGGGGCCAGTCCCGGTGTCAGGAGTGACTCCAGACAGCGTCCATCATTCCTGCTCATCCCTGGGATGCCAGGAGAGCTGCTGGGGTAGGGGGAATGACAGCAAGAAGGGTCAGCCCTGCACCATGGGGACAGGGACCACCATCCACACGTGGTCCTGTGATGTGTCAGGAGCCCAAACCAGCCCCACTGCTCTGTGGGCTGGTCCAGAGGAGATGGGGAGGGTGGGAGGAGAGGCTGTGGGAGCTGCTGCTCTGCCCCACGGGGCTCTCTGCACAGCATGGGCTGTCTCTAACCCCCTGCCCCATGCTGCAGCGCGGGTTACCCCACTGAACCAGCACATTGTCCAGCTCATCCCCTCTCCCTCTGTCCCTCCTCTACCATGGGGCAGGCGCTGGGTCCCACTGAGCCATAGGGGAAGCACAGCTCAGAGTGGGCAAGGTGGGACCCATGGGTGGGCACCTCACCTAACCTATGGGTGTGAGAGAGGAGCCCCATGCGCCAGCGCTCACCTTCACCCTGGGCAGAGTCTCTAAAGATGCTCTTACAAGTTAATTCATTATGTTTACATTCTTTGATCATGTACAGAATTTAATATATTCTATTATATATAACCTTTCTCGAATGCTTTTTTTAAAAAGGAATTATTCTTTAGGGTCAGGAGCATTACCACATTCCTTTTATACACCACCTCTCGTGTCAGGCATAGTTAACACGGTCGGAAACCGACTGCAAATGGCTATTTAATCCCTGGCACCCCCAGTTCTGCACATGAAGGACAGGCAGGGAGGGCAGCAGGGGAGGAAAAGGGGGGGCTCTGCCCCCCCCCCCCCCCAAAGCATGGGAGAAAGGGAAGGGGACCTGGCTCTTGTAGGCACACATCCAGCAGCACACCAGCATTTGCAGATGGGATGCTCAGGCACAGGGACCCCCAAGCCCCCCTTTGGGTGTCACCGATAGGACCACCATGGCGCAGGGGAAGCCGCACCAGCAGTAGGAAAGAAGCAGCCCCCCCCCCTCCGCTTCCCCCCCCCCCCCCCCCCCAGCCTTTATCCCGCTCGCCTCCCCCCCTGCCCCGGGGCACGTCCCATTGCGAAGGTGTCTTTGTGGTTCCGTGACCGTGGGGTTGTCGTGTGTGCGGTGGAGTCGTGTTGGTGCAGCGTCGTGTGTGCAGTCGTTGTGCGGTGCGAGGGACGGCGGGGGGGGGGGGGGCACCCCCGAGGGCTGGGACCCCCGGCAAAAAGGGGTGGCTGGAGGGAGAGGTGACACGGGCTGGTCCCGCCATGGAGCCAGGGGATGTGCGGGTACCAGGATGGGGCGGGGTGGTGGTGATGGAAACGGGGTGCTGGGCTCCGTGCCGTGGGGCAGGTTGGTCCTGGGGGGCTGGTGGGGGTAGGAAACCAGGGCTTCATTTTATGTGCAAGGCTCCGGGTTCCCTCTCTGGACACAGCTTCCCCATCGCCCCGCTCCATCGCTCCCTCTCTCCTGCCCCACAGGGCAGCCTTTGGGGACAAGGAGCATCCTGTCCCTGCGAGGGGATGGCGAAGGGGCCCCATGGGTTGGCTTCAGAGAGCAGTTTCCGTCCTTTCCCTCGTATTTATAACTGTACAGACTGGGGGGGGTGGGTCTCTGACAGGCGTCATCTCTCACCACGCATCTATCGTAGGCAATGGTAACTTTCTTGGTCGTGCTGTTAGAGTTTGTGTATGTGGCAATGTAAAGAACTGTGTATAGTGCATTGTACAGCATATTTTCATGAATAAAATTGTTTTAAATATTACAAGGCCGCGTTCCTGCCTCCGCTGCTTGTGCGTGCGTGGCCATGGGATGAGAGGGGAGCGACAGGGATGGATGGGTGAAGCTGGGGAGAGCCACCGAGGAGAAGGGGGGGTGTTTGGTCTTACACAGTGCATGGGGATGGGTGGCTTGGGGGGGGTCTATGGAGTCCCACCTGGACACAGGGCTTTGGACATCATCTATACATACAAATTTAAGTTATAAAAATATAAAAATGTATATAAGTTATAATAATTGAGATAATGATATACATATACATTTATGTTATAGAAATATAAAAATTTATATAAGTTATAATAATTGAGATAATTTAGATAATTCATAATTTAAATTCAATTATTTTGTGTTATTTTCTACCATTTTAGATGAGTCATTAATAATATAATTTATTTTGTATTAGAATTTACAAGTTTAGATAATTTATACTATAATTCATATTATTTTGCATCATAATTGCCCATTTTAGATAATTAATTTTAATATAATTTCTATTATTTTATATCATTATTTACAATTTTAGGTAATTCATCATTTTTAATACAGAGAGGATCTGGGAGCTGAGGAAGGCTGAGACCACTCGAGCAAAGCATCGCATGGGGCCTGTGTGCTGCTGGGAGGCAGGGAGTGGGGACAGCCCCATGGGGAGCAGTTGCTGGCTGAGATGTGCTGCTGCTGAGCAGGAGGAACAAACCCATCCCACAGCAAAGCTGAGCCACCCCAGGCACTGCCCATGTCCCTTCCTACTCCGCTGTGTGTGCTGGAGGAGAAAAAGGGATCAGGTTCCCCACTGAGACCCTAGGCACTGGGAGAGGTGGGAATCCAGCATCTCTGCTGCTGTCCCCACTCTCCATCCCCATCCAGCTCCCCTCTGCCCGCTGCCTTCGCCTGCCTATGGGGCAGGGACATCCCTGTGGGGCCAAGGGGCACATCTGGGTTTGTCTTTAGACTTGTCCATGGACAGGCTTTGGCCGGGAGAGCGGGATGGAGCCTGGCAGCCGGAGCCATGCCTCTGACCCTTCCCATCCCATCCCGCCTCGACTGAGCCAGCACTGGCTTCATCTCGCTGCTGTTGGCTGCAGGCTGGTCCTGAGAGGACACTTGGACACATTCTGCTCTGCTATGAGATAACTGGTGCTTGAGAGCCCTAATTGGAGAGCTGCAGAAGTGTACTCTGCTTCCCACTCCTTTGAAGGCAGCAGTCCCTGTGTGGCCATGAATACTGCACCAGCGGCCTCCCCGTTGATCCCGTGCTCCTTAACTCAGCTCCTCAAAGCTCCTGGATGAGCTGGAGGGATCCAGCTGAAGGTCAGCTCCCAGGGAGGGGACAGGGATTCCCATGGGAGCTGATGAGTGCAGCATCTCCCTCCCTGTGGTCCCACGGGTAGATGTATCCACAGATGCCCTTGGAGCACGCAGAAGAGGATGAGGACAGAAGGCTATAGACAAACAAGGAGGAAAGCCTTCAGGAGCATGTGTCTGTCATAAGATATTCCCTTGCAGAAATCTTGGAAACCTTAGAAAGAGTTTTTGCTCAATGTTATTAATTAAGGCAAAAGAATCCCCATATGGAAAGAGAAACAGTCAAGTTATATTTTTGCTAAATACGCGGCACCATATGGTAACATACAGAAAATTGGCCACATAGGCAGCCCAGAATATATGTTACCATATGTTCATATGTACTTCATAATTTCTTTGTTTTTTGAAAGAGGGCATTGTCTTACAGGGCAAAAATGAGCAGCCCACCCCAGGGAGAAGGAGAAACAGCACAAGCTGCTTTTGCTGAATGAAGCCCAAGGAAGGAGCCCAACCACCTGGCCTGGGGCTGCCTGCCTGCTGAGACAGCATGAGGGCACCGTGAGCATCTTCCCTGCGCCGCAGCCTCCACCATCCCTCCTCAGCATGGGCTGCACTGTGTGCAGGGAGACCCTGAGGAAGAGGAGGAGGAGCGTGGAGCCTCCTTTAGGTGCTGTCTCCAGGAAACCTGCATCTCCCTGCAGCAAGGGGAGAGGGAAGGGTCTGCTGGGAAAGCCATTGGGACCTGGGGAGAATCAAAGAGGGCAGCACTGGACCCCAGTGTGGGTGCTGCTGGGATGTGTGTCACAGGGGTTATGCAAACAAGTGTGAATGAGCTGCACATACATGTTCCAGACAGAGCCTGCTGGTACCAGTGCTGTTGGCTGCCATAGCCCAGTGATGGGCACAGGGCTGTGCCCGTGTGTGCTGAGCTCTCACTGAGCTTGACCCCCAGGATAACTGGATGGAGGATCGCTGGATATGTGCACACATAGGTGGATGCACAGGGAGCTGCTGCTTACCCCATGGGAGATGGTCCATGGGATGGCACGGCACGATCATAGGATCACAGGATCATAGAATCCCATACTGGTTTGTGTTAGAAGGGACCTTAAAGCTCATCCAGTTCCAACCCCCTGCCATGGGCAGGGACACCTTCCACTGTCATGAGCTGTATGGTCTCTGACACTGGTGCTGCAGCTCTGGACATGATGGGGATGTATGGGAGGCCTGGGGGTTGCCTGCCCAGCACAAAAGTGCTTCACAACTTCACAACAGGCTTGGCTTGTGCAGGGGCCATTCTGGTTGTGGGCTGAGGCCCTGGACCTTGTTTGCAGTCGCTGTCCTGCCCGAGATCCATGAGGTGAATGTGAATCCCCAAATCCTTGCATGGAGCAGGGTGAGTACGGGCAGGGGCTCCTATACCTGCACCCACATGGAAAGTGTTTTTAAGGGGATGGGCTTTTCTTCACCAGCTTCTCACAAGCAAGAGATTGGCTGTGCCTGAAGGAAAGGGACTGCAGCTGGCAGAGCCCAGGACTGGGGCAGGATGCAGGGTGCTGTGCACAGGGAGCCCGACCCCGCGATGCTTGCACCACGTGTGCCTTGACAGGCAGCATGAAACCTGCAGATGTGCCCTGATGTGGTCACTCGGGAGTGGGGTATCTCCAGCCAGAGCAGGGAGCAAGGAAGGACCCTTTGTAAGGTGACTGATGATCAGGGTCCACCTCCACCTCAGAGAGAGATTGTAGGGTCAGGCCAAGGGGAATGGCTTTAACCTGCCCGAGGGGAGACTGAGATGAGCCCTTAGGCAGAAGCTCTTCCCTGTGAGGGTGCTGAGGCGCTGGCACAGGGTGCCCAGAGAAGCTGTGGCTGCCCCATCCCTGGCAGTGTTCAAGGCCAGGTTGGACACAGGGGCTTGGAGCAAGCTGCTCTAGTGGAAGGTGTCCCTGGATGGAACTGGATGAGCTTTAAGGTCCCTTCCAACCCAAACCCTTCCATGGCTCTGTGCCTCACTAACTGCACTGCTGGGGAGCCCGGGGCAGAGCCGCTGCTGCCCGCGCTCAGCAGCGCTCCCCCTGCTCCCACCGCCCCGGGGGTCAGCGGGACCTCCCCGTCGGCCGGGCCGGCTCCCCCCGGCGCGCAGCGCATCTGCGAGCCCTTTGTGCCGAGGTCCGGGTGGGTCCCGCCGCCCGCAGCGCCGGACTCCACACACGCAAAGGCAGGGCTCGCTTCCAGCCCCACTTTGAGCCCCCCCCCCGGCCCCGGCTTTGGAGGAGCTTCATTAGAAGGAAACACAAACCAGAAGCAGAAGGGAGCGCTTTCAAGTCGCTGGCAGCTTTGCCTCTCTGTGAGTTACGAGGTCTTGCTTTATTCATGGGGCAAGGAAGAAATGCTTATCTCCTCAGAGTCCATTATGTTTCAGTCGGAGCCCGGGTGCACTCGGTGCTTTGGCAGAAGCATCCTCCCTGCCCCGCTCACCCTCCCCAAACTTTATCTCCCTGTTTCATTACCGGGAGTTGCGCTCGCCCTGGTTTATCTGTGCTGATGGAGTGGATTGCTGACTTCTCTGCTGTCCTAGCAAAAATGAGGATGGAGACATTCTGCTCCAGGTTCCTGCTATTTTCAGAGACCTTGGCTGCATGATTTATTCATAAAAAAGCCATTATTTATGCCAAAGAAAGAAGACAGAACGGGTTAGCTTTTTAAGTGCTTATAATGCATTATATGGTACCTTAGCCTGCCAGACATCATTTATAATTGTAGAATCCCTTAACCTCCTTTTTCTGTTTTCCCTACCCTTCACATCAGTGCAGAGGGTGATAGCAAACTCGGTAATTAGCAGAAGTTGACAGATGTGGCAAGGAGAGGTAAGGTGAAATATCATCCAAGGAGACGTTTCTGCAGCACCTAAGTGAAGAGAGACCCTCCCTCCTCCCAGCCTTGATCTCCCAGCTCAGGCAGCGCAGGGAATTGGATGCTGCCATGAAAACATTAGCTCATGGGCTCTGATGCTGGATTCCATCCAAGCCTCTGTCTTTTCCAATGGTCTGCAGGTATCTCAGCTGGTTCCCGTCTTGAAAAGGGTCCTGAGGAGCCCTTCCCTGCTCTCACTGGGAGACAGCATCTTTGGGAGCTTCACGTCCCCACTGCTGCCATGAGCCCCCTGGCACTGGGGCTGCTGGTGGAGGTTGGTGCAGCCCTGGGACCCCGCTGTGTCGCAGTCACTGTGAGGACACAACCACTGCTCAGACCCACTGCAGCCACAGGGGGGTTCATGCACCCCCTTCCTTAGCTCTTGTACAATGAAAAACGATGTCAGGACAGCATCAGCTGAAAACCCCAACCATGACCCCAGTGTGATGGAGGTAATGAATGGGGAGGCTGCGGGCTGAGGGTGGGCAGAGCTTGGGGCTGGTGCAGCTCA